CCGTAGATAAATAGTCTTAGTACTTGATATCCTAGTCCTAGTTCTGATATATAATATGTATGTATTTACGGCACTATTATATGTTAATTTACTTAAGTATTAATAAAAGTTTGGGGCAGGAGCTACACCCCAAATATAAAAAAAAAAAAAAGTGAAGATTACTATTTTATATTAATTAATTGCCTGTCTTTATAAGAGGATTGACACTACTATATAGTGAGTAATACTTTTAGGTTAGAGTTATGATGGAGGTAGTTGGAACCAGATAGTTTAAATGGATACCCCCCTAGTTGGGGTGCAGGTATGGCAAATAGTGTAAAACCTTCGGGCGGACTATTTAAATTAGGCACTCAAAAGGTGCACATGTGGCTTGATGTACCATCATTATAACTATATTATAAAACTTCATTTACATTCTAATAAAACATTTCCCAGGCCAAAGAGATCCCCTTAATAACAATATATATATATATATATAAGAGGATTGATTTTAATACTTCTTTTATCAAATTGGCTAAAAGAATTCCTACTGGCCCAGAAGAATTGGAATTGGTGTTGAATGAAAACTATTTACTCCAAACATTTTTTAAATTAATTGTAATATATTCAGAAATATCTGGGAAATAGAATTGATTTTAACACTTCTTTTATCAACTGGCCAAAAGAATTTTTACTAGCCCACATCAATTTTAATTCTTCTGGGCTAGTAGAAATTCTTTTAGCCGGTTAATAAAAGAAGTGTTAAAATCAATCTCATTTCCAGACATTTCTGAATTTATTACAATTAATTCAAGAAATGCTCAGAATAAATGGTGTCTATTTAACACCAATTCCAATTCTCTTTGACCAAACCAGTCAAATTGGTCAAATTGATCTGGTTTAATGGTCAAACTGGTCTGGTCAAGCCAATACTGATTGTATTATGTAAATTATTTAATGATTAATAAAGTTCTTCAAACAAATAAGTTCACTTTTAAAAAAAATAAAAAATAAAAATAAAATATATTTTATACAATATACATATATAAAATAAAATATATATTATACAATATACATATATAAAATACAATATATTTTATATTATTACTATAATATTTTTAAAATAATTTTAAATTAATATATATACTATAACTTCATTATTACTCTAAATTTTTTAATTAAAATTACAATTATATTTATTTATTATTAATAAATAGTTAAATTATAATATAAATAAAAAGAATTTAATTATATTTTTTATTCAAAGTGTTCATTGTTGAACTTTGAACACCACCAAGTTCCGAATTAAACATTATATTCTCATGAGAATTAATTGTTGCTATATTAGTATTAAATGTATTTGGTTGTTGTGATTCAAATTGGCTAACCTGATTTTGAGATGTAAAACTAGTGCCTAATGTAGTAAAATATGTGCTGTTATGCATATTAGGTCCTCCTGTTAAAGATGGCTGAGATGAGCTATATAGTGACAAAATTGCATTTTTATCGAATTTATTTGGTTGTTGTTGTAATGGCTGTTGCTGTTGTTGCAATTGTTGCTGCTGTTGCCATTGTTGCTGTTGTTGCCATTGTTGTTGTTGTTGCCATTGTTGCCGTTGTTGCCATTGTTGTTGTTGTTGCAATTGTTGTTGCTGTTGTTGCAATAGTTGTTGCTGTAGTTGTTTTTGAAGTATTTGTTGCTGCTGCTGCTGAAGCTGCATAGTCATGCCTTATGAAAATTATCATAAATATTTGATTAAATCGTTAGAATTGATACTGTCAAGAACTTGCTACAAATATCGCAATGATAGTGATGACCAAACCTGGCCCCTGAGTTGGCTGACCAAATCCATCTGAAAGATCTACAAGATTTTGCGATTTTGTCGAAATTTGTGGTGAAGGTGTTGAATCTATAAGTGATTGACTTTGTGTCAACTGTGGTTTGCGTTGTTCTGACTGAGACTTGGTAATAGAATTGGTATTGTTTGTTGTTGCAGACGTGCGGGATTCAATAAGTAATGCAGCAGCTACCTCTATATTACCACCAGTACGTCGAAGAGCATCTCGATTTTTTGCCTCATCATGAAATCCCATATTCCATAATTGGACTAATTTATCGTCGTTAGATGTATTTGAATTCGTGGAAGAACGAGCCAGTTCATTGGAAGTTGAGTTTCCAATAGATAGACGACATAATATTTCAATTGCAGAATTGAGATCTCCGTTTGTTGTAGACAAAACTTCTCTGTTTTTAGCAGTATCTGTAAAACCCATATCTTTAAGTTGACGTAACACGGCATCATTATTTCCTCGATCCACATATTTTGGAGAGGAATCGATGGTTTTACGTTTAGGTGGAGTTGTTGGTGCAGGAGACGAACTGTGTTGCACTGACTATATAATTTATTGAATAAATTCATTTATTTCGTAAAAAAAAATTTTTTTTAAATACGTTAAATCCGAAAAAATTAGACACTACCTTATTCGAATTATTGCAAAAAGATTGCCTTTCATATTTATTACGAATGTATTTTTCCATCTCACTATAATTTAAAGACACGTAAATATAAGTGTCAAAATATATATAACAAATAAATTTACCTATCGGATGTATTAAACGGCACTGGGTGTAATTCTGGATGTGGATTCCATTTCGCATTAGCTTTCAAATTACCCCATTGTCGCATGTTCTATAAAAATAAAATTAAATCAAATCAAATCAATTGGAAAAAACATCAATTGATCTGATTTACTTCTATTTGTTCCGGTGTCCATGAGTCTAATGATATCGATTTCACTTTGGAAATATGAGTCCCCATTTTACGATGTAAGCCACCACAGCGAATACAAAGGAAAATACCAAGATTATGAGACGCCCAACGTGGCCCTATAATTTTTTATGAAAGTTACTTATTAATCAATTTGAATTTATTAATGTATTACTGATAACTAAACGTTATTTATTTATTTGCAAGCCAGTTAATTAATGTAGAATGTTAACGTGCATTACCCTTAACACCACAGTCGGCACAGGAATCATTCCCTGGTAGTTTCGTCAATTCAAGCAAGATGCGTTCATGTTTTTCGTTAACTACTTTCTTGGCTCTATCCATTATATTTATGGTTATTTAACGAGTAAAATATGTTGATTGAATGAATGACCCGAAAGTTGATTTAACGGTGAGCGTGGGTAATGCGTTAAAAAATCGAAATTTTAACATTAACGGGCGGGATATTTATATTGAGATCAACCGTTTCACCAAGCCATCGGCATGTATGTATATGGCTTACAATCACACACAATAATTATTGGTGTTTAACGTTAATTTTTAATTTTTATTCTTATTCGTCGCGTCTGGAAGTTTAGAAGTTATATTCCAAACGAACATGTCGGTACAAACTAATTTGTCGACCACAGAAATTGAACGATCTCTTAAGGAAAATGAAGAGTCCTTACATGAGATCAGGGAACTCTTGGTCCTTAGCCCGGAAGATCCGGAATTGAAAAATCTTGCCGAAGATTTACAAAGTATGATGGAGGTTCAACGACAACAGTTATTACTATCGAAAAAAAATGACCTACTCGCACTTATTGGCTGTCCAGCAGAAGCTTTACATGACGACATAGGAAACACGGTGAGGATCATGTATATATGGTCGATATGAATATAAAACAAACTGGATTTTGACCAACTAAAATTCACTCGTTTTTGACTTGTCTTTTTGGCAATAGGAGAATCTGTGTCCTGGTTGGTTGATTTTTTATGTGTAGCATAAAATACCTAACCAATCAAATTTGTTGTGTTTAGAAAACCAATTTATTCCAGTCGCGTCAATTTTTCTAGAAATTTATACAAAAATATCTCAATAACCATCTATGATTAAAGAATAAAATAAAAAAATTTTCATCAAATTTGATCGGGTGGTTGTCGGGGTATCTTCACTTAAAACACAAAAGCATCTGCAAAATAGAAGTTACGTCAAATTTTATCTGAAACTTTAAGCGAAGATACCTCGACAACTATCCGATGAAATTTATTTTATTTGAACTCTATAGATTTATAGAGTTCAAGGTGGGCAAAAATACCGTTTGTCGGTACATTTCTGATGGGTAAGAAACAAAGGTTAATTTACATTCTGTTTTTGATAAGGCTCTAAAAAAATTTTCTAAAGCACTAATTACTATAGTAAAGTATATGAGGCAAAATCAGTCTTAGAACAGTGCACAAATAAGAATAGCACTTTTGCGTCAGGTGGTTGTCGAGATATCTTTCCTCGAAGATTTAGAAAAATTTGACATAGCTTCTATTTAATAGGAGTTTTGGTTTTTTTGAAAACTTTGAACAAATATATCTTGAAAACCTCCGGATCAAATTTCTAAAAAAAAATTTATTTGGATTCTATAGAATCGTGGAATTTAAATAAAAAATTTTTCGTTGAATTTGGTTTTGGATGTCTTCGTTTAAATTTCTAGAAAAATTGACGCGACTTAGAAAAAGTTGGGTTTCTAAATTTATACAACAAATTCGATTGGTTAGATATTTTATGTTGCATATAGAAAATCAACAAACTGGGCGCAGATTCTCCTATTCCGTCTTTTTACTTTTTGGATTCAAGATCGAAACTCAAAGTGACATACAGACGTATACCGAAGAGAATTTCATCAACCCCAATACCGATACGGATTCCTTACAGATTGGTGACAAATGTTGCATCCCATTTACTCATCCGGAATATCAAAAAGTCTATTTCCTTCCCGGATTAATACAAAGCATTAATTCCGATGCCAACACTCGTAATATTTTGATATTGACGCCTATTACTCCATCCACTCGTGTGTGTAAAAAATATTTATCTAATCAATGTGTATCGCCATGTCCTCGCGGACATTCTCATGGTGAAGAAATTTCATCAGATCTTGTTGCTCCGTATGAATTGCTCCATATTGGTCAAATAGATGCATATAAAGTTGGAAGTAGTTGCTGGGCTAAATATGAAAATGACGTATGGTATATGGCAAAGCTTGTTGGTATCGAAGCTGGTGGCCATGGCTTTAGAGTGATTTATAAAGGATATGAGAATGAACATCCTCACGGGGTAGTGGTAGGCCCCGATGAGATAATACCAGTACGAGGACTTCATGATATGGAAGATGATAATGAAGACAATGGGGATGATAATTCTAGTCAAAGCGATTACTCCAATTATGAAAGTGATAGTTTTAGTGATGATATTGACTTACCGTCCAAAGAGCCTAAAGATTTTGAAGACATTCATATATTCGATTCATCTAATGATGAAGTTCGTTTTGCGGAATGGGAGAAGCATACTAAAGGTATTGCATCCAAGCTTATGGCCAAAATGGGTTACAAAATGGTATTTAAATTCTTATTTTTCTTATTGAGTCATTTTAGAATATACCCGTAAAACTAATTCTTTTTTTTCAATCAAGGGTGAAGGATTGGGTAAGAATAGTAATGGCATAATAGATCCTATTGAAGTGAAAATTTATGATAAAGTAATATCATTGGATTACATCGATGGACAAGAAAAAACTGGTCCTCATCGACACAAAAATCGTAAATCCCATGACCCATCGATTCAATCAAAACGTCGTAGATCTCGCAAACGAAATGCAACAAAGGTTGATTCATCCAATAGTGTTGAAATTTTTGAATTGCAACATCCAACTGTTTTTGACTACCTGAATTCATCTCTTAACAAAGGTGGTGGAAAACAGAGCACTCACGTATCTCAACGCCCTCGCAATTCCTCTGAAACTAATCACAACATAACATTATACCAGATACAACAACAATTAAACCAAACCAACAGAGAACTTCAAAAGGCTAAGGAATCATTGCAAAGAAATGAAAAGAAGGATCCCACAATGGCTAAACATTTTAGAGAAAAAATTAGTCAAATTGAAGTAACATGCCAAGCATTGAAAAGGAAAGAACAGGAAATCCAGAATGGGATTGATAAGGCGAAAGGCCGTAAAAAAATGACAGTATTTTAATAACTTGATTATTCAATGATTCTTAATTTGTGATGCATAATCTAATAGCGTTGTATGATAGATGTTGCTCTTGCAATTTTTGAGTTATTATTATTATATTGCAATTGAACTGTATTATTTTATAACGGAGGCTAAGTAAATGTTTTGATAGTTATTATAAAGATTATAATTTAATCTAATATTGAACTAATGGGGTTTCAAAATTATCAAATAAGTGGCACATTTTGAAAATAAATAGGACTTTTTCAACGGCATTTTTACTATGTTGAATTATAAAATAAGATCCTCCGATTTTAATTTTGAAACCCCCAATATACTAATTAGATTATTAGTTTAATTTTAAAAAAAGAATATATATTGTATTTGTTGTATATATTGTACGTACTAAATCTAATTTTTTTAAATTATTTGAATTAAAAGTTTAAAAAAACATATGTTGTATTAAAATGTATATTTAAAATATTTCAAATTAGAATACAAGTTATATAGTATTTTTTGCATTTGTTTTACTGCATCAGCAAAATATATAAATGTAATCTTATGTAAGTTATTACGGACTGAAAACTTGCACAAGAATTATGCAACAATGTGGAATCTTTCGCAATTATCAATCATGAAATATTATGAAACACATGTAATAAATTACGCAATATTATGAGAATTATATCACTTTAATTTGAAATAAATTGCTATCTAGCACAATAATTTGGTATAAGTAGTAGCAGAAATAATGAAACTTTTATATTAATTATATGAAAAACATAAAATTGCTCTAATTCAAACATATTTAAAAATGAACAAATAATATTGAATTATATCAAAATATTTCAATAAAAAAATGTATTATATATAAATAATTTAAATAGTAATATTTAATGATTTATTCATTATAATTTGAATTATTTTGAAATATACTTAACTTAATAAACAAACTGTAATTTATTCAAATAAACAAAATCTATATTTTATTATAATATATAAAAAAAGCCAAATTATTAATAATTCTATATTAAACACTTTTTTTCCACAAAAATCCAAAATTCTTAAAAAATACAAGTGTCTATAAAGGTAGAAGCAGTCTGGGAAGTAATCTTTAAGCTCCGTAACTCGGCAGTTGTTATTTAGAGGTAGTTCTCATATGCTACCTGCTAACTTCTTTAGAGTTTATCACATACCGCGGGGCCAGGCACTTGTCATTTAGAAATAGTTCTCATACGCTATTTGCCAACAAGCCCAGAGTTTATTACTTACCTGAAAAATAAAGAGAGTACTAGCGCCTTCCTATGGATTTAGTGTGTTGAGTAAAGAAAATATATACTCTTTTACACAGGTCGAAATTTAATATATCCTATATTTAAGCTATACATATTGAGTAGCAGATATGTGAGGATGACGTAGAATATACTACACATAATTTATACATATCCTTAGTGTTTGTACCTGGATCGGATATTATCCGGTTATCTGTGGATAATCAGATATCTGGGTTGTGATTACGGCTACCCAGGTAGGTATATCTGGTTAAATATCCAGTTAGGCTACCCAGGTAGGTATATCTGGATAAATATCCGGTTAGGCTATCCAGGTTAGCCTATTTGAGTTGGGCTCTACGAGCTAACCCGGTAACTTTATATTTATTATTTAGCACTATGCAATAATAACCAAGAACCTAAAACTTTGCCAAATATACTAAGCAGGTATTAATGTTAAGTATTTAGATATACTTTTATTTATTTACTCAATAAATTTTTTTTGTTTTGTGTTTCAGCAGTCAGCATACTAATGTTATAATGCTTAGTGTAACTAAATCATTGTATGGAAACTCAAATACTAAACCAAACAAGCAAACAAACAAAAGATATGCATAATACTTATTCTTTTATAGAAAATAATCTTTGATTACAGAATCGCTAAAACTCTAAAAACAAAATCAAGCATATACTAAATAATCATCGTAACGTTAAAATGCTAAAGCAAATTATAGAAACTCAAATACTAAACCAAACAAGCAAACAAACAAAAGATATATGTATATACTTATCCTTTTATAGAAAATAACCTCTGATTACAGAATCGCTAAAACTTTAAAAATAA